TGTCTTCCTAATTCCTTGATTAACTCCACTAACTTTCTTATACTGTGATTGCTCATTCTCCTCCATACTCCCCCTCAAGCTGGAGTGGGGTGAGGCAACCACTCCTAGCTTGAATCTTAAAAATTGAAATTGTTGTCGAGGTAACGGTTTGGTAAGAATGTCAGCAACTTGTTCTGCACTTGGGATGTGTTTGGTAATAAGTGTTCTTAATGCAACTTTTTCCCGAACAAAGTGATAATCCAACTCAATGTGCTTGGTTCGGGCATGAAACACAGGATTGATGGACATATGCAACGCACTTATGTTGTCAGAGAACAACTGAGGAGGTGAATGTAAAGACACCCCAATATCCCGAAGTAGATAGGTAATCTAAACTAGTTCAGCTGTTGTTGATGCTAGTGCACGATATTCAGCTTCAGCAGTACTATGCGCTATAGTTGGTTGCTTTTTGGAGGCCCATGAAATACAGTTAGCTCCAAGGAAAATGCAATAGCCTGTGGTACTTCTTCTTGTAGTAGCACATCCTGCCCAATTGGCATCACAGAATCCTGTCAAGGACAAGGTACTACATGCGGAGAAACGAAGTCCATAAGGAAGAGATCCTTTAACATATCGTAGGATCCTTTTAACTTGGCGTAAGTGTGCAAGAGTAGGAGTTTGCATGAATTGGCACACCTTATTTACTGCATGGGAAAGATCAATTCTAGTGATGGTGAGATATTGGAGGGCTCCCACAATCTTTCTGTATTCATGTTCATCAACTAACTCATTATCTCGTAGTGTAACAGGATCTTTTATGGCTAATGGAGTAGAAATAGTAGAGGCTTCTAGCATCGAAGCTCGAGTAAGAATGTCACGAGCATATTTAGCTTGGGAAAGAAAAATTCCTCTAGGAAAGCTAGTGACTTTAATACCCAAGAAATATCGAAGAGTGCCAAGATCCTTGATAGTAAATTTATGGCTAAGATTGTCAATAGTACGCTGTAGTAGTTCATCTGAGCTTGCCGTGAGCACAATGTCATCAACATATAGAAGTAGCAAGGCTGTTCCTTGAGGATTATGCGAGACAAACAATGAGGAGTCTGCTTGACTGCAAAAGAAGCCCATACTCAAAAGATGTAGTGTAAAGGTGTCAAACCAGGCCCTTGGAGCTTGTTTAAGGCCATAAATGGAGCGATTTAGTTGGCAAACATAGTGAGGGTATGTCAGATCTTCAAAACTTGGTGGTTGATTCATATAAACTGTCTCATTGAGTTCACCATGAAGGAAGGCGTTCTTCACATCAAGTTGTCGGAGAGGCCAAGCACATGTTGTGGCAAGAGCAAGGACCATACGAAGAGTGGTTGGTTTGAGGACAAGGCTAAAAGTCTCATCAAAATCAACTCCAGGAACTTGAGAGAAGCCTCTAGCCACTAGTCGTGCTTTAAACCTTTCTACCGTGCCATCGGGATTTAGCTTGGTTTTGAAGACCCATCTTGAGCCAACAATATTTGTCTCTAGTGGAGGAGGCACTAGGTTCCATGTATTGTTTTGATGAAGTGCAGCTAGTTCTTCCTTCATTGCTTGAAGCCAATGGGGGGCTCAAAGGGCCTGCTGGACATTTTTGGGCTCTTTGATGTCAAGACCTGCAGAAGATATGTCATTAGTAATCATGGTGTTAGCATTTTTTGGAAAAATTGTTTTCACATGTCCTGTATGTGTACCAATCCGAGTTCTTGTAAGCATAGGATGAGTAGAAATAGAAGTAGTGTTATGAGAGGGTGGTGAGACTCCCTGAATATTTTGATTTTGGACTTCATGCTCAGCCGCGGCTTCAATAATTTGGTGTGGATCTCCACTAGTCACATCTACATTGTTTTGTTGATTTTCTGCTAGATGTGAGACCGTGGAATTTTGCCCAGTTTCTGAAACATTCAAGTTGGCATTGTCTTGATGTTGTGGAGAGGAATCTTGGTGCTGTTGAGGTATAACTCCCATCACCCCGGCTGGATCAGGTACTGTTGTGGGTTCAGGTAGATGCTGAAAGTGCTCCCTTTCATCTTGACAATCTATGGCATGTTTATACTGTGATTGGGAATTAGTTTCAAGTTCATCTACATGTCGTGAGGGCTGAAGATGGGAAGAAGCTTGAAACCACTCATTTGAGTCTGGATACTTGCAAAATTCTCCATCTGTAGTGACATTCTTAGACATTTTTGTTAGATCTGTATAAGGTAAAAAATGTTCATCAAAAGCAACATGTCTTGAAATGTAGACACGTTGAGTAGGAGGGTGTAGGCATTTATATCCTTTATGTAATGGGCTGTACCCAATGAAAACACATGGCAATGATCTTGGATGTAACTTATGAGCTGCATAGTCACGGAGATAGGGAAAACAACGACATCCAAACACTTTTAGCATTGAATAATTAGGAGTTTTGTCAAAAAGTACATGAAAAGGACTTTTATTGTTCAAAATAGGAGTAGGTAGTCTATTAATAAGATAAATAGCAGTAGAGAAACTTTTTACCCAATAGCGTGGTGGCATATTTGCGTGAAGTAGCATAGTCAAACCTGTCTCAACAATGTGCCTATGTTTCCTTTCGGCAATCCCATTCTGCTCTGGAGTACCAGGGCATGAGACTTGTTGTATAATGCCATAGGTTGCCAAATGATCAAGGAAAGCAAAACTTGAGAATTCTCCTCCTCCATCACATTGAAAGATCTGAATGGTTTTGTGGAATTGATTCTTAATCAACTTTTGGAATTTTTGAAAAGTATTGAAGAATTCAGACTTCTTGCGGAGGGGATAGAACCATGTGTACCTGCTATAATCATCTATAAAAATCACATAATATGAAAAGTGATGAATAGAATCAATAGGTGCAGGGCCCCATAGATCACAATGTATTTTGTAGAAAGGAGTCTTAGCTCTTTCATTATTTCTAGCAAAGGGCAATTTACAGCTCTTTCCCATTTGACAACTAGTGCACAAGTGGGGAGTTGAAGTCCATTTAGACACAAAAATATTTCTCTTTGAAGACAAAGTTTTTAAGGTACGCAAGTTTGGGTGTCCAAGACGTTGATGCCATATTGAGTCTGCTGCCTTATTTGTTACTATCGCAAGAGCATGCTTTTCTCCTTCATCAAGCGCATATAAGTGCCCTTTTCTAGTACCTTTGGCCAGAATTGCCTGTGTTGTTTGATCTTTAATCACAAAACCAGTAGATGAGAACTCAAAAATACAGTTATTATCATCAGTAAACTTGCTAATAGAAATAAGATTTTTTTTGAGTTCAAGCACAACTAAAACATTTTTAAGTTTTAAAGGGCCAACTGACATAGATCCAACATGTGAGATCTGCAAGGGCGTTCCATCACTTGTGTAAACTTTTTGATTACCATTATAAGGTCTTTTCACAAAGAGATTACCTGCTTCTGAGGTCATATGATCAGTAGCTGCGGTGTCAGCATAATGTCTTGGATCCTTTTCATCTTCCAAAGACAGAGTTGCAAGGGCTTGAGGTAGCTCTTCACTTTGATATGCATGATCAAACCTGTACCAACACTTTAAGGCAGTATGACCATTAATTCCACATTTGGCAAGAGTTTTCACCTTGGGTTGTCATGTTTTTGGTCTGAAATCTCTTCTGCGTCATGTGTTGCTGGGGTGCAGGATTATTGTTGACTAATTGATTTTTATGGTTACCGAACCGGTTGTAGTTACCAGCTTGGACAAATCCTCTTCCCCTGGAATTAAAATGTCTACCTCCATAGCCTCTGTCACGACGACCTCTTCCTCTTTGAGCGACAAACACCTGACTGAAAACAGGAGCTTTATTTTTGTTTTCTTGTTTCTGGACTTGCAGATCCTGTTCATAATTTTGCAATCCTGCAATATATTGGTTAAATGTAGGATACGGAGCCTTTGAGAGAACAGCCAGATTGTAGGGTTGATAACATGACCCTACAACTTTGGAGAGTTGAAAAACTTTGTCAAGATCATCAAGGGGTTTTTGAATCGCTACAAGACTGTCACATGTTTTCTTGAATTTTCTGATGAAGTCTTCAAGAGATTCATCATCACCTTTCTTGACAATCAATTGTCCCTTTAGATATAGCTCCTGTTCTTTTGTGGACGCCAAATAATGCTCCTGGAGACACTTCCAAATCTGGTAGGTTGAGTTACAACCAACAACCAGGCTTAGAGAATCTTCATTCATGGTTCCAAGCAACCAATTGGTAAGGAGTCCATCGTTGTTTAACCAGACTTCATAGTCTTGGTTGGGTACCTCTTTGTCATTCTTAACGACAGTCATTGCTGGAGCTTCCTCCTCAAGGTGATGGAGAAGCTGAGCACTACGAATTAGTGGATAGATTTGAGATTTCCACAAAAGAAAGTTGGTGCTAGATAGTTTAACGGACACCAAACTAGCCATTTGGTGGAAATTTTGAATGGTAAGTGATGTTTTGGCTTTGGCCATGATCTGGTTGGAAATAAAGAACAAACCTGGGATTTTCCTTTCTCACAGAAAATTAGATTACAGAGATGAGTATTCAGATGCAGGAATCGTACTGCTCTGATACCATGTAGAAGTAAAGAAGAAGATGATGGTGTATTGGAAAATACTCAATTGTATTCCCTTGATTCATTCTGTACAAGAAACTGATATATATACAAATGCAGAAACATATCTAGTGCCTATAATTATGTACACAAATATGGAATGTAAATATTACTTGACTGATATAGCATAGCCGTTGTCCTGCTGCACTGATTTT